CTACAAACCAAACATGCAACTTCTTTTTCCAAAGTGGCACTTACCCCTCTCCCCCCAAAATCTGTCAGCTTCCTGATGACTGTGTGAAATGGGCAAAAAAACCCCTGATATTAGGTGCAATCCAAATTTCTCCCTTGTGAATGAAGCCAAATTATGAACCAAATTTTTAGAAATGGAAGGTTAGTATAGCCCTGCAGACATTTATATGGAAATGGATCAAACTAAGTTCATTTCAACACCAACGTTGTGTAATCATGATGCTCTGAGATCTTCCTAAGAAATCCTTTGCCATATTTTCTTCCATGCTGCAAGGGAAAATGATTCTAAATATATGTACAATAGTTGGAGAGCGTTCCCATCAGTTTCGAGTTCCAAGTACAAGAAGAAATTGAGAAATGCTTAATGTTTCTGCTGTAGAGAAATATTTAATGCAACAGAATTCCTTCTCAAAATAAGTACACATGTATTAGTGTGCATGCTGTTGGGCAATAGTTACTTGCACTGCTAGTAAGATTAACTTAAGAGTTATATTTCCAAAGGAGCTTCTATAGTAGTACGGTATAACAATTGCAGTATGCCACACCTAAATAGTCTCCCAAGAGATAATGTAACAAACATGAGAACTCACAGCTTGGGGGCTATTTAACAGGTCAGTTTTTCAATACAAAAAAGTGCTAATATCACAGGTCCAATATGAGTGGCTTTTAGATCCAACATTCTGTACATACATTACAGAAATTCTGTCCTTCAGTATTTTTCACTGCTTCACAAGCTTGAGAGACTTCATATCACTTCCCATTCATCTTCAAAGTCATCAAGGTGAAGCAGAACAGAAGTGTCATTATTTTTCTGCGAACTATGGGAATGGCTAAAGGTCTTAGTGAGACGCTGGAGAAGGGATCCTGAAGCACTGATCGCCCACAGTTCATCTAGAGGGGTCACTGCAAAGCATAAATTACACATCTTTTAATTAAGGTAGCAGGTTCCAATTATAAACATTAAATAAATAATACTTGGATCTATTTTTGTGATTACAGCAAGAGGTGGTTTTTATTGGTGTGATAAACACACCCTTGGTGGAACTCTCAGAGCCAACAAAGCACTTAGATCATGCAGCTCGCTCTCCCTGCACAGCGTCAGCTTGAGCACCATCAGGCAGGAGTCAGAGCAGACACCACAACGTTTCTGACTGTCAGGCAGAACCAACTCACCTGTTAAACGTGAGACGTTTCCAGGAATCTTCTTCCAGTAGTCTCCCGCTGGATTCTTGTCAGTAACGCCGTATCGACGAGCTACATCTCCATTTGGACAGCGTGCCCAAACGGTCCTTGTACTTATAGCCAGCTGACAAGCCTGCAAACCTAAAGATAATCGGGCATGAAGAGGGAAGGATCACAGGCTTTCTCATACACTAAATACACTTGCAGAAAGGTTTATCAAGAGAAGACAGCAAGGCTGTAAGAGTTTTTACATATTCTTATATTAATGCTAGAGAAGAACTCTCCATTATAAAAGGCACAAAGAAATACCTAGTTTTCCAGGAGGCTTTCTAAGGAAGGATTGGCAAGAAGACAACTTAGGACCACATATTTCCTTACACTGACTTTAGGGGCTTGAACACAGCAGATGCTATTCAAATCTGAGCTTCTGGCCCTGCATAAGCAGACCAGCAGAAAGCAGGCTTCCTGCAGCACAGGAAGCACTGGTGAACACAAAAAAAAACCCACCTTTTAATTGCAGACTTTGGACTCACTGCATCTACTGACCACAAGAATATCACACTGTGGGTACATTCTGTTATGTGGCCACAGCCACAAGTGACAACCAACTAGCAGTTCTTCAAAACACACTTTTGGAGCCTCCACTGCATTTTACTACCACATGGGGAATAATCCAACAGTTTTAACTTTAGTTTGTCTAAAATTGGTTAACAATATAGAGACACTGTAGACTTTTTGTTTTCCTCTTCACAAGACAGCAAGTACTCCACAACTAAGTGCCATGTATTTATGCAGCGAAAAATCTTTAAAAAGCAGACAGCATCAATACACAAGAAATTACTAAGATTTAGTTTTATTTACAGGCAAGGCAAAAATGTAATTTCCTAATCTAGAATGTGTCCAGCACACAAGATTAATAGAAGGATATGCAAAATAGCATTAGGTTTTTGTTAGCCACGTCTAGATAGGAACCTTTGTTAGCCACGTCTAGATAGGAACCCCACGTTGTATCACATTAAAATACACCACTTCCCACAGCACAACAGTCTCCTATTGCTTAGGAATACTGCTTTAGTTCTAACTGAAAGGGAACTGTACCATTTGTTAATTCAGTAGCAGCAGCCTGAAATAACACACAACAGAAATTAATTTTTTTAAAAAATCATATTTCTCTTCAGTTAGGTACTTAGTGTTTTTAAGCAAAACCAAGATCCTCTTTAAAAGATAATGCTTACAAAATACTTTACTATCTTCCTATAAATAAGCAGACTTGATTGCTGAGAAAAATATTTGATTTAAGCACTGCTATCCAATTTAAAAAGCAACAGGGGGAAAAAAAACCACCAACCCAGAAAACAACACTCAGAAAAGGGCAGAAAGAACAAGAAACTGATACAGTAATTTTTACCTGGTACGTGTTCCCAGTCAGTGCCTACGGGCATTTCATCTGTAATTCCAACTCGTACGTGGACATTCCATTTGCTATCAATTGCCCACAACATCTGATCATTTGGACTTGAATGAATGCTGACCAAGTTGATTCCTACGGGCTACAAAAATTAAGCACAGTATTCAAACTTTGTACTACTGTATCACTTGCTCTTCAAAGAAGTATGCAAGGGAAGTGAAATATTCACCAGATGCTAAAGACAGGAAGAAATTCAACTGATGTTTTATTTATCACTGTGCAAAATTACTGATTAAAAAAAAGTCAATCCCTTCCTAAATAGAAAAGGAACATGAATGAATGTGTCCCTATCCATGGCTGGGGGGTTGGAACTAGAGGGCCTTTAAGGCCCCTACCAACCCAAACCATTCCGTGAGTCTATGTCACCCAAAGTTACTGACATTAATATTTAATTTTCAGCATCCCAGTCTAATAATATTAGTATTTACTTAACCACTGTTATTCCAATCAGGTACACTTTCAACTGCAACTTGCAGCAGGAACTCTTCCACAGAAATGCACAAAGTGCACTATTTTCCTGTTGCCTTCCTGAAAGTTTTCCTAACATACCTAAATCTGCACTTTATTTCTAAACATATGCAAGCAGTACATTTTAACAGCCTGAATGCCTCCTCTTTGCAATGAAATGGTGATCAGCCTTCTTCCCTGTACTCCGTTCTGCAGGAATACGACCGTGGGACTCACTGCAGACCACTGCAGTACGGGAGCAGCCGCACCTGCAGGAGAGTATCCAGAACACTGCCCGCTGGCAAACACAAGTGAAACACACTTCCCAGTCTGCTCCCAGCCAAGTCCTTTCTCTGTTGGCTTCTATGGAGATTTGCCTTTAGTCACCAACCACAACATTTCACGGATTTCATGAAGATGGTGATTTTGTAGCAAAATATATCAGCCAATGGGTTTAGTGAATGCAAAAATCCTGCAGAACATGTACTTTAAATAAAACGCAGACAAATAAAAATAAAATGAAAAATAAAAAGGGTTTCTCCACATCAGCCTAATAAAGCCACTGAAGAAGACAGTAAGGTGCCTAGAAATACATCATCCCCTCACAAAGCACTGCGTTTCTTGCTTTAACCTCACAGGCATAAGCTGAATTTCCAGTGTGATAAATACAAGAGCAAGCAGCTCTTTGCATGTATAAACATAGCAATACAGAAGCATAATCTGCATGTGTATGCAAACTGACAGCCCAGCCCCAGATGGGCTTTCTGTGTAGGTAACAGTTACCCGCCTTGGGTTTGCTATTAAAATTCTGGTGCTCAGGCGTCTGACCCAGCTATAACCAAGCTCGACTTGCATCACCGAATCTCTCCTGGCTGTTCAGGCTGCAAGGCCTTTGACAGACCATCCTCCCATGTTTGTGCTCTCATTAGGTACTGGCCCTCCATGGCAAGATTGAGGCTGGCAGTTCTTAAGTGTTTACCTCTGGTCACACTAAACTCACAACAGCTGCAGTTTGAACATTACAGTAAGACACTAATTGTCTTGAAGAGTGTGGACTAGGTAGAATATATAACTACCTAGCTACTTTCAAATTGGTATTCTGCCTTATTAAAAATAAACAACTGCATTGCAAAAAAAAAACCCCAAACCAAACAACCCCAAACCACAGCAACAACAAAACACCCCAAAACCCCATACAACTCTCCCCTCTGGTCTTGCTGGCTCCACTGTACATTATCCTCAGTCCTAGCCCTGTTCCTGTTTCTCCCTTGGCTCTGACTCCTTCCTACTTCACACTACCCACCTCCCCGCTTCACTGTCAATGGCTGTGCCTCACTACCGTGCTGCTTCCAGCTTCAACACATCCTGTTCCGTATTTCTGATCTTGTATTCCCATGTTTTCAACTAAGGGAGCTGTGCAATAAATAGCTTTTGCAGACTGAATTACTGCACATGAGCTCTTCGCCTTGTTTCTTCCCACTTCCTTTTGTTTTTTTGATCCACTTATCACCTCCCTGCAATGTTCTCCTACCACAGTCACCTCTTCCTCAGATTTAGGACTTTCTGCCACTCTTCCCTTCACGATTCATAGAATGTTTTGGGTTGGAATGGACCTTAAAGATCATCTAGTTTCAACCCCCCTGCCATGGGCAGGGACACCTTCCACTAGACCAGGTTGCTCAAAGCCTCATCCAGCCTGGCCTTGAACACTTCCAGGGATGGGGCATCCACAGCTTCTCTGGGCAACCTGTTCCAGTCCCTCACCAACCTCACCAGGAAGAATTTCTTCCTTATATCTAATCTAAGTCTACCTTCTTGCAGTTTGAAGCCATTCCCCTTTGTCCTGTCACTACAAGCCCTTGTTAAAAAAATCCCCCTCCAGCCTCCTTGTCGGCCCCTTCAGGTACTGGAAGGTGCTATAAAGTCTCCCCGGAGCCTTCTCTTCTCCAGACTGAACAAGCCCAACTCTCTCAGCCTGTCTCCACAGCAGAGGTGCTCCAGCCCTCTGAGCATCTTCGTGGCCTCCTCTGGACTCGCTCCAACTGGTCGATATCCTTCTGATATTGAGGGCTCCACAGCTGGACAGAGAACCGTAGGTGAGGTCCCTCATCTGTTTCACAATATGAATTGCCAACGTGGCTGCCCATGCTCCACCACTGCAATACACTTCTTGTTCCAACTACAGTCCTTCACAGACTGTGCCAAACAGCTTGGTGTGACCCTAATTACTGAACTGCTGAGATTTGTGCACTTTGCTCTCCACTCTTCCCACGTCAGGACCCCATTCTTCTCTTCCTTTGTCATTTGTCTAGAAACTAATTCCCTGAGAAAGAACTGGAGAGTATTTCCATCCATCCAGAAGGACCTGCTGAGTGCTTACACCTAGTACCTAAACCTGTGCATTACTACAGATTTATAGGTAGTGGAAGCTAAGAAGCAGACAAAACACCCAAAAGGGTGTTCTGCAACTCCATGAAAGCAGTTGCATGATGCTCAGCTGGATTGCTCCCAATACTACTGCAGGTTCAAGTATAATCAAAGCAATTACACCTCTACCCTATTCTGCAGCACCAGCAAATCTAAGAAACAAATGGAAATTACCAAGCTCAAAGTAACATCTCAACAAGCTTGAGTAAAAATTCTTCTCATTCTTTGGTTTTCTAAGTGAGCTCCTGTTTCCTCCTCAAGTTTCCCTACCCCTTTGGGTATTTCACTTTTGTCTTCTCTTCCTTTCGCAGGCTACTTAGCTCTTTCTGATACACTCAGATCAATAAAACAATTCTACTCGCTCTGATTATAAAGGGTTCAGGCAACACACTGATGTCAGCATCCAACACTCTTAACAGAAGAAAGCCCACTCCACTGCAGCTTCTGCTGTGAAACAGCAGTGAAGGACAACTGACAGGACAGCTATTGATATGGTCACATATAGCAGCTTTTGGTACAAAACAGCGACAACACTTGGGAAACTAGTACTGGCAATTCTTAGAGCCTATTGCAGAGGTTTTACCTCTCGTTTTACCTCTGGGTTTTTGTTTGTTTGTGTGTGCTGTTTTTTTTTTTAACCCAGAAAGCAGCCATCTACAACAAAAAGGTGCTCTCATGGCTACCATGGCAGAATTGAAAAAAATAATTTAAAAGTTTCTTGACATCATGTACCATTTTGGGGAACAATCATACTGACATAATCTCAGATATCACTCATTTTCACTGTTTTAATTACCATAAGCATGCTTTAAGTATTTTAGAATCTATATAACAAGAAACAGATCTCTACAGCTGCAGTTAAAGATTAAAAAAAGTTCTCTCATAGCAGTAGATAATCTGTGCAAATTTATAAATCTGCTGATAACATTTTGGAGACTGATAACCATGAAAATTAAGAAGTTATTTCAGCATAGCCCTTTCTCAGCTTGTTTAACTTCCAATAGCATTAACGAGATATATACACCTTGACTGCAAAATGTCGTATTTGTAATTTACTGGACAGCTTGGAATTTGAGTCTCTCACCAGTCTCTCAGCCTTCTTCCTCAGATGCTGGTAGACCAAACTGTTTATAGGTTTACCCACAATACTTATCGAGGGATCGACTGTTAGGGAGCATTAATGGATCCAGTGTTAACTGATAAAAAATGGTGGAACAGTTTTTCCTTTTACTTGTAGTGCCAAAAATTTCTGAACTCAAAAAAATCTCAGGACACAGACTGTTTCAGCCAAAAACAGAGAGCAGAAGTATCTGCATTCTGGTCTTGTACTTCAGCTACAAAAAACCCCAGTTGCTCCCTGTCCTTTGAGGATTTCCCACTACAACCATGGACTGCACCACACTACTTTTCAACATTTAAAACTACATACTAAGAGCTGTGAATCCTTTTATTGTCTGCTACAAATAAAACCAGTGAAAAACAGTCTGCTAGCATCCATGTGTCTGATGAAAGCACAGTGCTGATAAAATGAAGTAAACCTGAAGGAAGAATTTAACCAACAAATTGTTAAATGAAAACAGTGTCTTGTGCTAAACATGTTTAAGTTATAAAGTTGCCCATTATTTTATAATTCTTTGCCAGTCATTTCCTTTCTTTCTGCAAATCATGGAGAAATAAGCTTCAGTGTAGGAACTACATTTAAACAACAGCATCAAACAAAATCCAAAATGAAAACTAATGCAGTGCCCCCCCCATCTCACTCCTCCAACCTACTAGAGTTTTGTCTTACTGTAACTACTTCAGTCACAGGTGAACCCAAATCTCACTGGTTCAGACTCCCTGCCAAGGAGGAAAGGACAAACATGCACAAAAAAAAGGCATCAGAACATTTTCTACGGCACTTTTCAGAGGCAGAGTCATATGCATGTATCAGCAGACCTTCACTATCTCTCTTCTGCTGCAAATATCCAAGATGAGGAAGACTAAACAACATCCTCAGTCTGTCCAAGCCCAATCCTTCTTTTAACAGGTTGGTGGCTAGAAGCATTATGCCCAAATGTTCTCCTCACCTTCAAAAGACCAACCAGGAACGCCTCCAGCTAGTCCAGGCCAGGCTGTAAGAACACCAGATCAAAGATACTTCTCACACTCTTAAGCATTAGCAGTAGATCAGACTAATCTGACCATTTTGAAGTGAAGTTCCCA